GGACTTCCCACTAGGCGTTAAACCCAACGGATACCGTCTTACCTAAAAAGATAAAGTAAAAGCTTATTCACGAGAGCCGAGCCTCCCACTATGCTATATAACCAAGGGATACCGTCTCACCGGAAAAGATGAAGCATAACTCATTCTTTACGAAATGCGTGCTTCCCACTAGGCAATAAAGCCAAGGGATTTTGCCCCGCAAAAAAAAAAAAAAAAAAAGAGATAAAGTTTAGCTCATACTCTACGAAAGCCGAACCGCCCACTAGGCGATATAGTTAAGGGATATTGTCTAACCAGAAAAGATGAAACATAACTCATTCTTTACGAAATGCGCGTTTCTCACTAGGCAATAAAAGCCAAGGGATATCGCCCTCTAAGAAAAATAAGTTAAGTTCTCATTCTTGGTGCGAGACGGACTCTCAATTCACAAAGTCTCAAATCATTTTCTCGAAAATAAATTAGCCATGGGCAATTTTTTCTAAAAAATAAATAAATAATAAAGTATTATATATAAATATATAATATTTTATATAATATAATATAATAAAGATAACATGGAATACAAAAAAGTAGAGGCAAGATACGGAAAAAAAAAAAAAAAAAAAAAAAAAGGACAAAATGGAGCAGAGAAAGTGTCAGGCCTCACCACTCCTACCCTCGGTGCCCGCGCTCGTGACATCAGCAGCAGGGCTGCTGATGTCATATACCACTCAACTGTCACATCCTATGCCCCCGAGTTGACCCGTCCACCCGAGTTGACTCATCCGAACGAGTCAACCCGCTCTCCCAATAAGACACTTCTGCATGGATTTTGACACTGGGTGATGTCACGCCACACCTTGATGACGTCACAACGCTTCACTCCTAAATTTCCACCGACAACTTCGAATTTCATGAAATTTGCGCCAAAGGAGTCCAATTTTTTCACACTAACACCATAACCCCTCAAAATATGGAAATTCCATTAGCTCTCCTCGAGGCTTTGAAAGGGAAACTCTACGTCTTCGAGCGACTGTTCCTAAGTTACTCCCAACCAGGCCCACGTGCCTATGGCCCTACTTGGGAGTGGGGGGCTTAATGATGTGCCTAATTCTTAATTGGGTTTTTGGTCTAAAAGGCCAAATCAATCCAATTAATAATAAAACCCCAATTATCACATCTACTAAAATTCAATAGGATTTTAGTTATAACATATTGTCCCACATCGGATTTCTACAAGAAGTCTCCATATTCCATCACCTATAAATATGTGATTTAACTCATATAATAAGGTAAGAACTATTTAGGCAATTAATTAATATTATTTGCTTATATTGTGATAGTTTTCTGACTTGAGCGTCGAGGACAATCGCCGGGCCACCTCCGGCGTGTCACCTAGTGTTTTCAACTGTTTTGTAGGTGAACGAGTGGAGCGATCCCTTCGACTACCTCGGACGCGTGGCAAGAACTCTTGGCATTCCCGATATTGGGCTTGAAGATTCCCGGACTTAGGAGACCTGTGGGCTTCAAGACCATTGGGCTGACCCAATATTTTGGAGCAGCATCAAATTCTTTAATCATGTTTATGCATGTAAATCTATTCGAATGTGACATCTACATTATTGTCCTTATAATTGCATGGTTTTAAATCAAGTTTTCTTTAAGAAGAAATTTATAACCAAGTGCAATGAATAAACTCAATTTCGTGTAATAGTTTGTAATCTGTATGCACAAGACTAACATGTAAAATAACTTCAGTAATAAGTTATGTTTGACGAGTACGACCCGAAAAATATTAATAATTATGTAAGAACTCAATTATTATATTTAACTTCAGATAAAACCATCCATTACGAGCTTTGAAAATTGAAACTTTCAGAATTCATAATAAAAATTTAGTATTGCTCCATTTTTGTATATATTCGGATCAGAATCGACGAAATTTTGAAAGTTTAGTTAATTTTCACCTAAAATTTCACGGGGTAGGAGTAGGAAGAATAAACCAATTTGGTGTCAATATATCATTGGAAATTGAGGTGCAACAAAGTCACCACAAAGTACAAACCATATTCAATATAAAATTGGAAAATGGCATATCCACGAGTATGATTCCATATTCCACGTGTCCGTGGACCCACTACTCAAACTTTGAAGGACTTTATTAGTCATTTTATTGTAGATGCGAAAGTGACATTTGATTGAAATGTAGAATAAGAAAGGGTGAATTACTACCGCATTGATATACGGTCAAATTATAAAAATCTCCTTCATGTTTGAATAATTACAATTACTATCTCAACTCCTCAAATTTAGTGGAATTTTTTAGATTAAATGAAATATTATAACTTTTGTACCCGTTTTATCCCATTCGAACTTTACAATTTGAAGCAAAATGATCATAATATATGTTTTTTGGCTTGCATATATCAGATTGTGGTGCATCCGAAACTGTATTTTTACACAAAACGAGTACAAACTAGAACACATTCCACGAAATCTAGATGATTATGTTGAATTTGACACCATAAGGGTGGACGTGTAAGAAAAAAATCATAGTTGAGAGGGTAGAGGTAATTATCCAAACAAGAGGGTTTTTTTTTTTTTTTTAAATTAACCATACCTCAGGGGTGTTTGTAATTTGCCCAGAATAATAATAAATAAATAAATAAAAAGGATTTATAAGAGAGTTTAGCAATAATAAAGAATTAAAATATTTATTGGCAAAAAAAATCAGTCGAGCCCATTGTACCAGGCCCAAATGGGGTGGAGGCCCGTTAGTAATTTGGGTATTTGTAGCCTGTAAACAAATGGGTAAATTATACTACGAAATCCAGCCCACAAATATCAGAAATTACTTACAACCACAAAGACTTTTATTTGAGAATTTAAAATTAAAAAATTATTTAAAGTTAGTCAAAATTTGAAGTTCTAAAATAAAATATACACGTTTCTCCACATTTTACGAATTTTAAGTTCTAAATTATTTATGTTCACATTAAAAAATATCAAATATTTAGTTGTTGATAATTTTATTTTAAAAATATTTTATCAAATATGTTTTTTACAAGTAAAGGGAAATAAGAGTAAGAATACGGTAGGTATACGGTATTGAACAAAATGTTCGGCAACCGTACCGAAACCACTCCTAATAGCAAGTGTCATCAGAAAGCCACATTACATCGAATTTTAGAGGGAATCGCACCGAAATCGGTAATACAAGTATCAAAGGACAATGAGATTGTGATCAGAAACAACGGCAGGGAGGTGTGAGATTCTTGAATCGGGAAATGCGGAATGTACACCATAGAGGATTCGCAACTCCTCTTTCAACTTATTTCGGTGGAAAAATCAAAGTGACCATTGTGCTAAATGTGTCGTTGCAAGGGTAAATCACGGTAGTATTTGATAAATTTTACAGAGTTATATTTTACCGCGCAGAAGTGTATAGATTCACTTATTATTTGTATATGTATAATAGTGTAAATCAAATTGAATATATATTTCACAAAATGTAGTAGCATTTAGGGAAGTCAAATGATTGACAACCAATAAATACAAAGAAAACATGTTTTAGTCAACGTGAAGAATATTACTAATGATTCAACAAGATTGTAATGAATCTCCATCCAAATTTTACCCTACTTTCTAAATTTCTCTCATTTGCTTATCTGTCTTACATTACACTACACTAATAAATATATACATACATAAATATACATATATATATATATATATATATATATATATATATATATATATATATATATATATATATATATATATATATATATATATATATATATATATATATATATATATATAGATATATATATATATATATATATATATATATATATATATATATATATAATATATAGAAATGTATGAATCTTTGTTAGCCTGTATTTGCTGATCTGTAGCCCACTTATAAAATCCACTGAAAATTGAAATCCAACGATAGAATGTTTTTCTGTTTGTTTTAATTCAGTATAATAACAGTTTCTTGATGATTGGGGGGACCTTATTACAGTTCATTCGTTGTCTGTCATCAATCCGCGTTGCGTTCGGTTTCTTTTGCGCGTCGATTTTTTTTCTTTCTTTTTTCTCTTTCTTTATTACTTCATTTCTCTTGTGGAATTGTTTTGTTTTCCAGTCACCATCAGATCTGCATTTTCTTGATTTCCTTGTTCAACCATAGTACACCAAACTAAGCAAGCCCCCCTTTTTCTTCGAGGTAAATCCCACGTTTCCATCATCTTATCTTCATCTTTGTTTTTTTTTTTTTTTTTTGCAGTTTTGATTTTAATGATTAGCTATCTGGGTTTCAAGATCTTACAACATTGCAGGTAAAGATTCGAGCTTTATGGTTTTTCTGAAAAGAAAAATCTTGAATTTTGCAAAAGGGGGTGTTTCTTGATTAGGGTTTTGTAGGTACATGAAATTCAATTTTCATGGAGGAAAGTGAATCAGCAAACTTGTGGGTAGTGGATATATTTGTGGGTAATGGTGAAATGAGAATGTAAGTGTGATTTTCTTGAATTTTTAAAGAGGGCTGCACTTTAGTCTTAGTTAAAAGTGGTTAGATTTTCAGACAAGTAGCTATTTTGCTTGTCTGAAAAAAAAATGGGATCAAGGGAGGAGAGACACAGGCACAATCAAGATCTTGTTCCTTTAGCTGCACTAATAAGTAGGGAATTAAAAATGGAGAAAATGGAGAAGACATCTTTGAGAATAGGATCTGCAGCTCAATCAAGAAAAGGGGAGGATTATTTCCTAATCAAAACCGATTGCCAAAGAGTCCCCGGAAATCCATCCACATCGTTCTCCGTTTTCGGGGTACGCTTTTTTTTCTATCTTTTTTTCTTTTAACCAATTCGAGAAAATTGCAATAGATCCAGGCATAATTCACATTTCACACCCCTAAAAAAATTCCCGATTTTTCAGCTTTTCGATGGGCATAACGGGAATGCAGCAGCAATATTTTCGAAGGATCATTTATTGAATTATGTTATGGATGCAATCCCACGTGGGCTTGGGCGTGACGAATGGCTTCAAGCTTTGCCTCGAGCTTTAGTGGCTGGCTTCGTTAAGACAGACAAGGAGTTTCAAAGCAAAGGTTAAACTTCGATTATCCTTAATCCTCACATTATGATACAGTTTTTGTTAGGCCTCGTTTGGCTGTCGAGATTAGCCATGATTAACTAAATAATTAGACTTTATTTGATGTTTGGTCGACCTGGAAATATTATTTTATGAATGACCTATCTTGCCTTGCAGAGAGATTATTTAATCTTATCTTGGTTAATTTTATAGTACGAATCAAACGAGGCCTAAGTTAATCATGCTTCTGATAATGTTTTTTTTTTTTGGTCATACATAGGGAAAACTTCTGGAACTACTGCGACATTTGTAATTATCGACGGGCTAATGGTTACAGTTGCGTCAGTTGGAGATTCACGTTGCGTATTAGATGCTCAAGGCTGCAATGTCTCTGATTTGACCATTGATCATAGACTCGAAGAAAATGCAGAGGAGTAAGTTCTTTTATCCATTTTTATTTTATTTCCTCCGATTCGACAAAAATAAATAAATTCATTTCCTTTTCTTTTAATGCAGAAGAGAACGTGTGACAGCTAGCGGAGGTGAAGTCGGTAGGCTGAACATTTTTGGTGGGCCCGAGGTGAGATTTCTGTCCGATATACGTCATTAGGCCTTGTTTGGTTGCCAAGATAAAATAGTTATTGCAAACTTATTAAGGGGTTTCAATACACAATCCTCCAATAAACAGACAATTAAGGCTAAAAAAAATCAGGCTTTTTGGGTCATCTCGAAAAGTTGGACTTAAATTAGATACTAAATGAGGCAATTATTTAATTAATCACAACATGTCTACCCAACCAAACGATACCTTCAATTTATAGAGTAGTTAGTTAGTTAGTTGTCTGAATTTTCTTTGCTCGATTTTTCGTAGATTGGTCCGCTTCGTTGTTGGCCGGGTGGCTTATGCCTTTCGAGATCGATCGGTGATATGGATGTGGGAGAATTTATTGTCCCCATACCATATGTCAAGCAAGTGAAGGTATCTACTTATACTGATTTTTTTTATTTTTTTTACTTTTCATTTAATTATTTTTATGATGAAGAATTTAATGCCGGATTTATGACACGTTATATTTTTCGTAAAGTTATCAAGTGCAGGGGGGAGATTGATAATTGCTTCCGATGGGATTTGGGATTCGTTGTCGTCGGAAATGGCTGCAAAATCTTGCCGTGGATTGCCTGCTGAACTTGCTGCTAGGCTAGTTGTAAAGGTACAACAAATCCATTCATTTCAAATACGAACCTTTTGTAACTCTCGGTCGCTAACTTCAAGAATGGATAATAATTGTATGTATGTAGGAAGCACTAAGAACACGAGGGCTAAAGGACGACACGACATGCGTAGTGGTCGATATAATCCCTCCGAATAACAACACACCGCACCCTTCTCCACCACCCAAGAGATTCACCAAACTTCAAGCCTTATTATTCCGAAAACTTTCCAGCAAGTCGTCTGCTAAATTAGCAAAGAAAGTATCCGATGTCGGTATTGTTGAGCAATTATTCGAAGAAGGCTCGGCTATGCTCGCCGAAAGGTTCGTTTTTTCTCCTTTTTTTTTTCAAGATTCTCAAAAAAATAAATTCAATATTTATTTATTTTTGTTCTTGCAGATTGGGAAACGATGATTCGAGTGGGCAAAATTGTGGGGTGTTTGTGTGTGCCGTATGCCAGGTGGATCTATCTCCAAACGAGGGGATATCGGTACATGCGGGGTCGATATTCTCGATGAGCTCAAAGCCATGGCAAGGACCTTTTCTTTGTGGAGATTGTCTTAATAAGAAGGAAGCTATGGAAGGCAAACGCCCAAGTGGTGTCAAAGTAGTTTAGTTAATTAATCAATGCCTTCTATTATTATTAATTCTATTCTTAAAACACCTATTTTTTTTTTTCCTCATAACCATTCTTTTCTCATTGATTGTTCAATATCTAAAGTTATTTATTCAATTATTCAATATCTAAAGTTATTTAAGCAGGATTTATTATTTCAAACAGTGTATAATAATCTCAAATGTTGAATAATGCTCAAGACAAATACATGTAATATGATTAGTTACCTATTTTGATGTTTGTTATATGTCTGCCTCTTACTTCTGTTTTTTCATTGGCCTTTCAAGAATTAAAATTGAATACAGGAAAAAAAAATTAAATATTTAAACATATAAGCAAAGACAACAACTGTCAGAATCATCATGCAATGCAGCAAATGAAGTTGCCCCAAAAATGGATGACTGAATTAAGAATTTTTCAAACACAGTATTTTCAAACTCAATAATCAGAAAATGATTTTCTCTCTCTATTGTCTGGTGGGGTTGTTCTGATTTCTCATGACAACACAACCTTTTCAAGCTCTGCATATACATCAACAATAATGAATTAAAAATAAATTACGCCGAATCTTTCAGAAAAGAAAAAAAAAAGATATGCGTCAAAATTGTCGAAACATAAATTATTTAAAAATACCTTGGGAGGGAGGTTGATCCAGAGGCTTCTTGTTGCTGCAAATGGGAATTGTAGAAAGTTTAACGGATATTCTAATTGATCATAAAATTGAAACTCACGATTTACATGGACGAGCATTTAGATGGATGCGTGTGTAAGGATTCATATATTTGGAGTTTTTCATTTGGAAAAAGACAAAAACAAGTTTGATTTTTGTACCTATCTTTGCTTGCAGGTTCATCTTGTGGCTTCATTGCTGGGAAAAGCAAAACTTCCTGCATGTAAAGCAACAGTGAGCTTGACTAGAACTGAAATTACGACAATAGTTTACGAGGTGCAAAAGTATTGACCTTGATGTTCTGCGAATCGGTCAACAACATTGCGAATCGGTCAATACCCAATCCCCAACCACCAGTTGGAGGCAGACCATATTCAAGAGCCGTACAGAATGTTTCATCAAGGGCCATTGCTTCGTCATCGCCCGATTGCCGGTCCTAATTTCAGTGTAAGACATCTTAAGCATTAAAAAAATTTCCAACTTTGGACAAAATAATGTACTCCATTAGTATTAATTTTTTCCTACAAATACCTTGAGTTGGTCAGCAAAACGCTGGCGTTGAACAACAGGATCATTCAATTCCGTGTACGCATTGCAAAGCTGTCAAGTACACGCAACAAAAAGCTGAAATCAGCATATAATTCAACAAGGAAAAACAACGGTGAAAAATGAAGAATGAAATATCAAGTGGAACTAATACATACTTCGTGTTTGTTGATGAACAGCTCGAATCTTTCAGTTAGGCCAGGTTTCGACCTATGCCACTTTGCCAGTGGACTCATAATCTCCGGATGATTGATAATGAAGGCAGGGTTCACACATGTCTCCTCAAGAAAATGCCCAACAAGCTGTACCAAAAAAAATTCAAGTAATCTAATTAAGAAAAAAATAATAATAATAGATTCACAGCCAAAAAGAAAAAAAAAACAGTAACCTTACTTTGTCTAATAATCGGGTAGTTGTTTGAGGAGGCGGGCACTTGATCTCAAACTTTGCACACGCATCCACCAGATACTTGTTAGCTTCCTCACTGGAGAGGTCCTTTGGTATGCTTAGATTAGCAATCTGCTCCAACCCTTCAATCATATCAATCCGCCTACAAAAGCAAACCCGATAAAACCATCTCTTACATTAAACACAATCTTCACACAAGTATAAAAAAACATAGAGGAATAAATGCAACAAAACCTGAAAGGAGGAGTGAAGTCAATCTCAATAGGTTCATTGTCCAATCCATTCGCATGATACTTAATCTTATAGCCACCTGTGAGTTCCTTCACCATACCTACCAAGATAAAAAGAATATGTTTTGAGATATTCAAGAATAAGCTTTTTTTTTTTTTGAATAGACGATTTTTTCTACCTACCGCTAATCATATCTTCAGTTAGTTTCATCAAATCGTTGTAATCGGCAAAAGCCATGTAGAACTCGCAAGTTGTGAACTCAGGATTGTGTGTAAGGTCGATTCCCTCATTCCTAAATTGCTTCCCGATTTCATACACACGGTCTAAACCACCAACAACTAGTTCCTTGAGATATAATTCTGGAGCAATTCGCATGAACAGTCTCATATTTAGGTCATTGTGATGTGTCACAAATGGCCGAGCAGCTGCACCCCCAGCAATCATGTTCATCATGGGTGTTTCGACCTTTCAAAAGAAGAAGATTGAAAAGCGTAAGCTAGTGAACATTAATTATTTTAAGACCATATATATTATTGGACTTAGACATACCTCCAAAAAATCTTTTTCATCAAGAAATCGCCTGATATAGGAAATAACTTTTGCCCTGGTCTTGAATATTTCTCGAACCTCCATATTCAGCATCAAGTCCAAATAACGCTGCCTATATCGTGTTTCCTAAAATGAAATACTATCTATCAATATCTATAAAAAGTTTGCAACAGAAACACAGACAAAAGTATGAATAATAAGTATGCACGACAACTTGTACACGATGAAGGTTCAACGTAATTGAAAAGAGTAGTATAGTACCTGATCCTTCAATATGTAAGCATCCGGATTTCTCCCACTTCCTGGAACCCAAACATCACTTACCTATGCAAAGGAAATAAACGTCAATGAGTAAGACACACAGTGTGGGTGTATGAGAGCTGACAAGAATAAGAGTTCTACCTTAACATTTTCGGATCCTGGACCAATTTTCTGCCGTGGCATCATGTGGAGACAGTGGGAAAGCACTATAAATGTCTTTGGAAAAATACTAAGCTCTCCCCTTTTACTTTTACCTGAAAAATAAGCAACTACAAGGTAAGGTTTTTGAAGATGTATGAATATTTATTCTATGGAAAGACGAGAGTGACATTCGAAACTGCAAAAACTACAGCCAGTTTACTTGGGACTATAACATCGTAGACTTATTGAAGACACTTTGTGAAGCATTACACAATAGATATATAATAACCAAGATACACAAAAAGTCAATGTCAGCTAATTAAAAGTCAATTACAGTGAGCAACCATACATGTAGAACAAACATTCTGTTAAGAAAATAGCTTCTTAAATTGGGATTATAACTCAGACGCGCACAAACTCACACTCAAATGGTGACCTCCCACATACATACGAGAAACCCTACCACATGACGGGGTAGAGGTTTTCACAAACGATGTAAACTTTATTCATAAGTGAAACAAAACAAAACCTTACCCTAGAGCAACTAAGTAAATTTTTTATGAGATTTAAATTAGGAAAAAGAAAAAATAAATTCACAACAGTTGGGCATGGCAAATGTGATTTCAGGGGTATGTTATTAGAAAGCCACGAACCTGGGAATCCAATGATCCCAACAATATCTCCTCGCTTCACTGAAGAATGGAATCTAGTAAACTCTTCTTCCTCCATATCCGATTTCCTACACAAACATCCATAGTTAAAATTGTGACTAAAAGCAATCAAGTATAAATGTATTATCTCTCAGCATTATAAGAAATCATGAAGATAAAAGATTACAGGATTGCAACATGAATGAAAGCTACCATTCCTGCATAGAATATTCGATTATATGATTACCTCGCATCGGTCATAACTTGAACCTTAGCCCCACCGCCGTGCAAATCGTAGAAAAACAGTTTTGATGACGACGATCTCTTGTTCATAAGTCGGCCTACCAAAAGATAATGTACACATCAGCAACCAAAAGTAAAATATGCTGATTTCACAACGCATAAAATCTACCATACCGGCAATTCTTTCTTCCACGTCTTCAAGGTGATCCCCACTGTTTAGACTTTCATATTTCTTCACATATTCGGGAATCGTCAAGTTGGCTTCGAACTTGTGGGGATACGGATTACTGCCGGATTCCTTCTGAGCTGAAAGAAATCGCAACCTGTTCTCGTAATATTGCTGCATGCAAGGACGTGGCATAAGTGAAACAACATAGACATCAGAATATAAAATTTTAATAATATACAGTGTAAACTAGACATACCGTTGGATCCATGCCTTCATCCTCCGCAGCGGCAGATTTCTTCGCCTGTGCTCTTGGCTTAGCAGAAGCCTGAAATGAGTACAAATTTCGAAAAATCCATAAAAAGCCAAATGAGAAACATAAGGAACTAGGTTCAAGTTACCACAAACAATTCGTTATTATCAATTTACAACAAAGAATTGAATCACAGGAAAACCAAAACAACATAACTATCAATGAATTATTTTGAGTTAATCATTTTTCTTCATCGGTTATTTGAACAAGAACAAATAAGGTCAAATTTCGACCCTGACCCATATTTAACTTGAGAATCCGATAAAATCAAACTGTAATTCGATCACGAAAATAAATTCAGATAACATTTAAACATCTATATAAATGTCAAAACAGTTTTTCGAAAATGAAATGAAGAACAACAGCAAATCTATGCAAATGTTCGTGGAAATAGAGAATTTACCATGTTTGCAGAAAGCTGAGGATTGGGAAAGAGGAAAATGAAAATGCAAATGCCCAACTTCTAATTTCTCTGAGAACTGGAAAGGCAGTGATAAACCCTAATGACTTGAATTCTAAGCGGACAGTGTCATTTCATTTTCATATGAATTGGGCTTTGGGCTAACTCGGTTCATGTAATTGGGTTGGGCTAACTCGGCTCGTGGGATTGGGTTGGGCTAACTCGGCTCATGGGATGGGTTGGTGTTTTTTTTTTTTTTTTTTTTATAACAATTTTACCATTTTAAAACAACATTTGGATTAAAATTGAAATGATGATGATTAATTTTTGGATTATTAAGAGTTGGTTAAAATTTCCTAAACCTAAAAATAGTTAATTTAGATTATGTTGCTAGTTTCTTACTATATTTTAACTATTTGATTTAATCTAAATTAAATATATTGCATTGGAGCTATTTGTGTGGTTTATATTATGTATTAAATAACATCTCGAAAAGGCGTTCATTCTACGTAGATTAAATCAATTACAATAATATTAAATAAGATAAGATAAGATTAGCCAATATAAGATTAAATAATCTAATAAAACTCAATTATTTTATTGGAGCTTGCAACGTCCAATAAAAAAAAACTCATTAGAAAGCAAGATAAACCATGATTATATAATTTTGGCAGGTCGACCCGGCAATTTATTGGGAATACCAAACATCAAATTAAGTCAAATTATTTAGTTAATCATGGCTATCTCCCCAACCAAACGAGGTATATTTGGCTAATCTCCCCAACCAAACGAGGTATATTAATATATATTACGGGCGTTGATATATTATGTATTCAGTTACATAAATACACCGGTTAAACTCTGATATCACTACAATAATTGTAAATCACATAATTGCTAATACTTATTAATATTAGGATGCGGCTATATGCAATACTCATTCCACTTATGCAAGACCAAATTAAAGAAAAATTCCAAAAGATTCTATTTTTTAAGATGAAATGACAAATATACCCATAAGTTAATTTGCCCTTTTTTCTCATACAAGACCAAAAATAATGAGGACAAAAAAACAAAAAAAAAAAATCAAAAAGAAAAAACTAAAAAAAAAAAAACAAAAAAAAACAAAAAAAAAAAACTTTGCGTGAATTGAAACAACACCCTCCTTCAAACCCTACCCACCCACCTTCTAACCCTACCCACCCACCTTCTCCGCCGTTAAATTTCGCCGCCCAAGCTTCGTCGCCTAAGCTCCGCCGCCCAAGTTCCACCACCGATCGCCGTCGCCGCCAGCTCCACCGCTCACAATCATGAGTGATCCAAACCTGGCCAGCAACGCCGCCGAAAAGAGGAAAAACAAATTAAATTTGAAACTGGTAAAAATCGACACCAAGGTGTCGAAAAGTTACACTACAAATCGACACTTAAGCGTCGAATTTTATAAGCAGAAATCGACATTGACATGTCGAATTTATAGCACAAATTCGAGATGTCCAAATGTCGAATTTTATAGCACAAAATCGACATCTAGATGTCGATTTTTACCCATAAAATTCGACTTGTACATGTTGAATTCGTTTGCGCGAGATTTTTTTTGGAAAAACGATATTTTAGCTAAAAAAAACCCATAAATGCATACCTGCTTGGGTTCTTCCACCGTAGAATCTTCTATTTTGATGTCTTCTGACTCCATACTTTCCATCTTTGTAAGATTTGTTGAGTTTTGATGATTTTGAATGTTTAGGTTTTGTGGGTTTATGGAAGAGGAAGGAGAAATGTCTTGTGGTTTTTGGAAGATGGAGAAGATGAAAGTTGGTCTTGTGGTCTTGTGATAGGGTTTTTTGTGTTTTTGAATTTTTGGTCTTGCACATTTTGAATTTTTTATTTTTTTAACAAGTAAGGGTATTATAGTATTTATACATTGAAAATTTTAATTTGGTCTTGCACAAGTGGGTTTAGTCTTGCATATAGCCGCAGCCTTAATATTATTATATTTTTTTCTAATTTATATTTTAGCATATTTGCCCCTTAAATTTTTAACAAGGAAAAATATATTTGTTAATTTTCTAGAAACGCAGTCGTTAGTTTTTCACTCTCGGGTTTCCAAAACGCCGTCGTTTCAGGACAACCATGTTTTGTATGGAGGCCGACGTTGGAAAAATGCGCAGCGGTTTTCTAACGACATATGTTAGTACTTATTTCCCCTGAATTCTTGTTATAAATAATCTCTGTTGTTTCATATTTTCTTGATAGTGGAGTACAAATTCATATGAAATATGATATAATTAAAGAATGTGGGAGATCCCCAAAAAGAATAGTGTTCCACACTCTCTCTCTCTCTCTCTCTCTCTCTCTCTCTCTCTCTCTCTCTCTCTCTCTCTCTCTGTATATATATAATTATATATATCTACCTATTGAAGTGCATAACCTTTGGTGCAAACCTCAACAGCCTATCCAATGCATTATAAGTGAATTTTCTCGCAAACAAGTAACACACATTAGTTCTCTCCCCATTGTACTCACATCCACCACCTCCTCCGCCGCCGCCGCCACTCCTCAGCCTCTCCAAGAACTCCGGCGTGACATCCGTCCTGACGAACTTAGCCGGGTGGGGCCCGCCCCTGGACCAGTCAACCCAAGTCAAAGTCCTGTTCGAGTTCCTCCCCCCAAACTTCATGCTCACGAAAGTCGGCAAGTAGTGCTCGTCCGCGTAACAAGAGCCGTCGCAGTACTTTTGGAAAACCGGGAAGTAACTTGTGTCGGAAATAACTTCCAACGCAAGACTCCTGTCGATACCGAACCACTGCGATCCCTTTCTCCAGTCGTGGAGCTTGACGGTGGGCCCCATTTTGTGGCTGTACCGGCCCCGCCCGACGGGGCCCGCCAGATCGTACGACTCAACGAAGTTTTGGGTGGAGTTGATTAAGTAGGAGTAGATTGTCGAGAAGTTGTATAGCGGGATACATGATTCGGAAATGAGGACAAATCTTTGGTTGGAGAAATCGAGAAGCGCGTTTGCTAGTAGTCTTCGTTCGGCTTCGATCATATTAACATTCCCCCATTGAACTACCTGCATTTAATAAAAATATTAGAAAGCATATATATATGTTTAATTTATTGACTACCTCAACCAAAAGATTAAGTTGTAAGTAAAATGTATTATTTAATACCAATATAAACGGTTGATTGGTTTGCTACCGACAGAATGGAAGTTACTAATTGTTTAATATTAGAAAATGTCGATTTTATTTTTAAAAAAATTAATTTTAATTTTTTATTTTTGTGGGGGTGGGGGGTCCTCTGTTAAATGCTCTGCCCCCATTCAATCCAAATTTGTTTAGGCATAAAATTGTACTTGCTGAATACACAAGAAACATAACATTAAAACATGTTTAATAATTATGTTAATTCTTAAGGAGTTGAGAGGGTTGATTAACCTTAATTCTTCAAACAAATATTATTTATGAATTAATAATTGACTGACCTTACTAGGAATCCTTCTGCCGTGAAAAATCGAATCACGGTCAGGCTCCGATCCATTGAAAGATGGATCGGAGTGCACGTAAATCGAGTACAGCCCTCGGTGCCCTCGAAAGAATCTCTCCCACAAGGGCGCTAAGATCACCGGCCCTCTTGTCAGGAACATGAACGCAACCTTCGGGGCACGTTCGAACGGGAATTCCTTGATTTTAGGAGCCATTGATGCTCGCCACATCAGCTCCCGTTCGCTCATTCCGTGCAAAACCTCGTCGTGAGTTTTCGGAGCGGTGGGTTTTTTCGAGGGTGGTGGTGGTGGAGTATTGATAGGTGGCGGTTGGTTTAGTAGCGACCGCGAGGTGAAAATCGAGAATTGGCCGTTTGTGACTTGGAGATTGAACGAGAAGCTCTTGTAGTGGAAGCAGAGGATTATTCCGAACGTTAATCCGAATACGAAGAAGAAGACGTACGAGAGGAGGTTTAGGAGAGGGTGTGGTGAGTAGTTTATTAGTTTTCCGGCGACCGAGATTGGGCTTTGGCCGTGGCTTTTCATTGTTACACGGCGGCGGCTGGAGGGTGGTGGATGGTGGTGGAGTTTGTTCGCCAAATGTGAAATGAAGACTAGTACTATATAGAATATTGGGATTTAAATTGAGGAGAATTAAGAAGCAAACTTAGGTGAGTTGGGACAAAAATATTATTTTAATTAGTTTAAATAGAAGACAACTAACTGTCGGCTGTAGTGTGAGTTTGTTACAAAGTTTTATTTACCTGTAATTAAATAAATAAATAAAATTGGATTGGGAATTTGATGGAGAAGACTTGTTGGACAATGATTTTCTTCTCACAATTTGGACTTGTAGCTACATTGGAAAAGTACAGCCGTCAACTAATTCGCGCGTGTGTATTTGTGTTAATTATTTAATTATTTATTTATTATATATTTTGGTTAATATCTATGTTTTTTTTATATACAATACACAAATACACAGAACATTAATTAATTATACTTTGTACTTTACATAATTTTAACACGTGATTTTTGTGCATGAACCGTGAATGAATAATAATTACATATTCGATGTATTTCACTAAGTGTAGTATGAAATACTATTTATTTCTCCAATAATAATAATAATAATAATAATAAACCATACAAATAATTTACATTAATTACTAAATGGACCGGCCAATACATGTCGAATTCACTGGACCTAACGATAGTTGCTTAACTAGTAATACACGTCAATTGGTAATTATGCCAATGGTTTATTAATTATTTCCTGATAATATCGTTTTATATTAGCAGATAAAAATAATAATTGTTTAGTACCTTTTTTTGGATTATGCCAAAAAAACTATTGTGTCGGTATTATTGGATGGAAATGAACCCAAATTTATTTTATTTTTATTTTTCAATAATTGTTTATTTTTATCAATTGATTGAAACCATGCACCAAAATCCTCTTAGATACTAGCACGAATTAATGAATTAATTATATTTTTGGTACTTATAGCTAAATAAAAAAGTCAAATTTAGACTATTCATATTTCAATTTTGAATAAAAATTGCGTGTTGGTGACCAAAATAAATTTCAAAACCTGGAACTAAAACCAACTTTGACATCTAGACTAGTCAAATTTATACCTTATACCTATGTTTTGTGAGAGATGGTCTAATGTTATTTGAATATTTAAAAAAAAAAATTAAATAATCATCGAATTATTTGGAATATTGCAGAAACAAGTCTATTTATTTGTTTATGATTACTTATTTTTGGCATTTTTTTTTCACTGTCAAACTCTAACTAAAAGTGGAACAGCATGCAATTTCAGGTAATAATGGTAAATCAATTCCCATATTAGATTTATTTTCTTCACATCTAAATCTAATCATGCAACAAAAAGAGAATTTTAAATTTTATATATTTTATCACAATATTAATTAATAAATGCATGTGGTCCTGTTAATTAATCATGACAACTGGTGTGGGCCTGTATTACTGCAAATACATGGTTAGATATTTCTCAGGAGACCATTCAAATCATCACTAGAGTGCTCATGCATCACAGATTTACACTGAATTGGGTATTTAGTGATACAATTAACAGTTGTCACTAATTACGCGGCTTTTTTTTTTTTTTTTTTAATAATAAGTATTATTTCCTTAGTTTATTGAGTTATAATATGGTAGATTACTAAATTTTATAATATATAGCATTTGGTTGACCGTCAAGCACACTAATTTTTTTTTTTTTTTTTTTTTTTTTTTTTTTTTTTAAATACAAATTGCACTATGTACGATCACTAATGTCGCATATACCCCTATGTACTACAAAATGCAACAAAGTGGCCCATCAGTTTAACGGTCAATCCTCAAATCTCTAATACCGTTAGTTTATGTGGCGTACTTACCTTTTTACCTTATATTTATGTGATATTGATGTGTCTAATTGGATCTTAAACCCAATTGGTCAATTAAATGTTCAATTAAGGGAAAAGTCCAATTAGAGCACCACTTCTATAATTTTCTCCCACATTGAATCTCTACAAGAAGTTTTACACTTCTACACTTGTCCCGCATCGAAAGTTTACAAGAAACTAATAGTCAAGTCCTCTTATAAAGACAAGGTATGATTCATTTGTCAATTGATCTTTAATTTGGGTGATATTTTAGCCTTTGTAAAATATCACTTCCAATATTTGACTTGAGCGTCATAGTCACTTAGTGTGTCACTTAGTGTCTTGATTTGTTTAGTCCGGACCCACACCTTTGATCCCTTTGGACACGTGGCAAGGAACCTTGACATTCCCGATATTGGGCTTGAAAATTCCTCCACCATTTCGGAGCAGCATCAGACTTTATTGCATAACTTTGGAAAAATATGTCATGTAGAGTTTGGACGTAAAAAATAAAATGCATGAATTTTGAGAATTATAAACAAAATTTAGGGAATAAGCATGAAAAAAAATGAAGTAAATTGATTACAAGAGAGAAAGAAAGAGGCACATCTATTATACACAACTATAGGGGTATTTTCGTCAAAAAATGTCCAATATGTAGTGCAATGGTCGGTCAACTTTCAAAAAGGACAGATTCTTTAACATGACCTGACGGAATGGGCCACATTGTCGCATTTTGTAGTATAGCGGATATTTGTGGCAATAGTGATAGTAAATGGGTGCAATTTGTATTTAACCTTTTCTTTGGTGGATAAAACTTGAATAAAGCCATATATTATTATAGCCCAGTTTCATTATGAGCTGGGCTTTATACATACCATCACCTGCTAATTGGGCGTCACATCACGTAATGAGGCCGGCACAAGTTACCGAGTGGTCCAATTTTGCAAGGTAACAAGTTATAATAAATTAATAATAATAATAATAAATTATTAATAATAATAATAATAATAATAATAATAATAATAATAATAATAATAATAATAATAATAATAATATAAAAAACAATAAAAAATAATAATAAGAATAATAATAATAAATAATAATAAATAACATGAGAAATGACTACCCCTCTCCCATTTAATTTCCTAGTGGATTTCCATTTAGTCTTTTTCTTCTTTTTTTATTTTATTTTTTATTTTAGATTTTTATAACATTTGTGTGACATTTTACAAATGCTTTTTTATGTGTTTATGGAAAGAAGAAAATATGTTAAATCATACCTAATTAATGGTGAAGTTTATGACTCACATTTGCACTGATTAATAGCAGCTATAGAGTCTAGAGTATGCCACTTTTTCGTTTATTTTTATGCTACATCCGGTGAAGGTTACATTGAGTGGATTTTTATCGTTGATCTGCACACACCAATGTTGGTGTGTGTGTGCTTGTGTGTATATAGATGGTAAAGATCTACCCAATGTATTTCACTCAGTGTAGCATAGTATAAACCGACTTTTCCTTAAGTTTCAACACATGGACAGATCGTGAGTAATTAAGTTGGTATACAACATTAAATTTACCATGTTGACCAAATGTTTATTTGAATTTACAAAATTTAAAATGAAACATATAATTTGATTAGTAATGTGCCCAAACCCAATATAATTTGAAACCAAAGTTTTGAATTAGGGGTGAAAGTTGTAACGTAGATTTCCAATTTCCGCCGGTTTCATCTGAAAAGTTCCGAATTTTGAACAACTTTCTTCTTCACGGTTTTTCGATTTTCGATTCGATTTATTTTTCCAAACTGACCTAACCGACTCTTCTAAAAGGTTTAAATATGAGATTAATTTAATCCTTCTTCTCCTTCACCTTTAAAGAGAGAGAGAATATATGCCAAGAATATCTCCCAACCACATGGTTATGCATCTTGATTCTTGACTAACAAAAAATTAACCTTACAAAAAAAACCTAATAAAATCTGTGCAATGGCGATTTTATTATTGCAAATTGACAGTCCGTTTAGTATAGTGGATGCGATTAATAGACCACACTTTTAAAAGCGTGGTTTGCTTTATCACGTCTTTACCTACAAAGGTGGATTATCTAATCTAATCACCAGAAAAAAAGTAGTAGGAAAATGACAACAGTGGATCAAGAAAATAAATCTAGGACAAGAAATTTTATTTAATTGAAGAATGTGGGTAGATCACAAGCACCACACACGCTTAATTATTTTTTATTCGACAGTGGAGTGCATATTTAGCCATTGAGATATTAATTATATTTTTTTTTATATATATCTCTATAATTTTATATAAATGATGGATTTGTTTAAATGAGATGGATGAACAGTCAACAAAAGCGTTTTAGGTAGAATATTGTGTGGGACTCGTCGTGTTTGACCTTCTTTTTCTTTTTTCTTTTAATTATTATTATTAAAAGAATATTTTATTTACTTGGGGTTTATAATTTAAAGGGTAGGTAATTCTAGATTGTTCGTTAAAAACTCTTTTGAACTCAGCTTGTTAATACTTAATACGACGATCCAAATTTGAGATTGTTCGTTAAAATTGTTGTTTTATATGCCTATAGGAATCAATCTTATTTAATTGTAATGATTTATTTGTTAGGACAGTTGTATGTTGCACTATACTTTCCATAACAATAATAGGGAATACATATTTACCAATCTTTATTTCATACCTTGACGGATTTCCTAAAAAAACTAATCGGGAGAAATGCAAAAAAAAAAAAGTTAAAACAATATTTTTCTTAATATTCCTATAGGGTTAATTACAATCACCCCTGATGTATGGTTAAATTACAAAACCCCACTCTTATTTGAGTAATTACAAATACCCCTTAACTATAAATCTTCTTACATGTCCACCCTTGCGATTTCAAATTTAGTGGAATCTTCGAGATTATATGGAATATTACCACTTTTGTACCCGTTTTATCCCATTTGAACTCCACATTTTGAAGTAAGATGATCATAATATGTGTTTTTTGGCTTGTATATATCAGATTGTGGTGCATCAAAAACTGTATTTTTACACAAAACGAATACAAACTAGAGCACATTACAAAAAATCTAGATGATTATGTTGAATTTGACACTATAAGGGTGGAGATGTAAGAAAAAAACACAGTTGAGGGGGGTGGATGTAATTATCCAAACAAGATGGGTTTTTTCGTAAATTGGCCATACGTCAGGGGGTGTTTGTAATTTACCCTATTCCTATATCTAGTGAAATTTATTTCTATTTTCAAATTGCACCTGTTCTTCATTACTTGTAATTAAAATTAAAAAAAATTAAAAATAAAAATAAGTTGCATCTATTCAGCGGCCAACTGGAAGCTGAAGGATCAAGGGACGTGTGACGGCACGGAAGTTCGCATGCCAGCCTGACGTTTGGCATATGCTTACAGCTTACTTACCCTCTTGGCTAAATTAATATTTTGCATTTTCAGTTTTAAGATTTATTTTTTGTTTAATTTTCAAATCTTTATATCTTAATTAAATACAATTTAGCTTACGTTTGTAATTAAACAAATTAAATATTATTTTTTTTCTCTCTCCCTCAATTGAAATGTTGAATTTTGGTGATTCTTTGTCTACATTTTTTTTTATTGAAGCGTCACCGCTTAAAAAAAAATAAAAGTTAAATTCATGCAAAATAAAAATTAATCATGGGACACGATTGATTTTAATACTTGGTATAAATAGTCTAATTTGACCAATGTATAATCAATTAATCAAAGCCAACACGTACTATCCATTTCCCGTCACGTGCCACTCACACCCGACAACCTCACCATCACTTCGCCGACGTGTCCCACTACCGCCAGGTCAGCCACTTTAAATCTCCGCACCACCACGTGTTCAACTATAAATTGCCCCCCATTTTATCCATCACGAATTTACCCTCCATCGGCATTTCATTTCATTTCATTTCACATCACGTGAAGTAAATGAATTCATAGAGAGAGAAAGAGTCCCAGTACATAGGGGGGAAATCTAATTCATAAAAGGGGAAACAGACCTCGTGAATTGATGGCGACGCCGGAGATACAGAACGGTAGCGTTTCGGTGATGGCGGCGGCGCCGTTAGCTGGTCCTTTGGATCAGAACGGCCACTCGGCTGCGGCGCTCAGGGTTTCGTCGCCGATTCGGATTTTTTTGTTCTTCCACAAGGCTATTCGAGCTGAGCTGGACGGTCTTCACCGGTCGGCGATGGCTTTGGCGACCAATAGAGGTGGAGGCGACATCAAGCAGTTAACGGAGAAGTGCCATTTCCTGCGCTCGATTTACAAGCACCACTGCAATGCAGAGGATGAGGTTTGTGCCGGTGTGTGTGTGTTTTCAGTCAGTAGTGTATGATATGTTTTTACTGATGTATTTTTTTAGTAATTTCTACCTGGATGTTTTGCTTGAAGCATGCGAAGCATTTTATCCCAAATTCAGGAAATTAAGTTCTTCAATATTGTTTTAATTTGGTTTAATTATTTGTAAGTTTTATTCTATTTCTCGTCATTTGATTTCCATATGCTCTCTCACTAAACGGCAAAGGATCATAAGTGGCTTAGTTAAATTTATCGAATTTGTAGAAACATATGCATATTACTTGCAGTTGCAGTAGAAGGTGCTTGTTTGAGTTGCAACTTTGTATGTTATGTTAAGTGCAAGTAATACGGTTATGGTTTAATCATGAAATTTGTCACGAATGGGGGTTGATAGTTACAGGCTTTTACAGCTATAGAATATGATATTAAATTTATTTTGTTCATAATCTAATCACAGACATCCTTGCCTAATGTTAAAAAACAACTCAATCTTCACATACTGTGGTTTATTTCTAATGGATTCTGTCAAAATTGATGGTTTTTTCTCCAAATTGTTAGAATTGAAAGTCGGGAATGTATTTTCTTGGGAGAAACCACGGAAGTTTCTATTGATGATACTAGTAAGCCTATTGGATCATTTTTTCTGTCAATTCTCATCTTCATGAATAACATGCTGACATATCTAATGTTCATGCATAACATTTTACTTATCTCGTATAGAATCTTATAGGCAGTTTATGTTAACAGAAAACCGCATTGGTATGGGTCAGATTTTTGAATAAGAAGAGTTTATGTTTATTTGCATTAATGCGTTATCTTATAAATTAAGTGACTTATGTGGTGTAAAACCTTGTTATTAGGCCATTTAAAAAAAAAAGTGACTTGTGCGCTCTTCTTACTAATGAATCAGTGAGCAATTTGTTATAGTTGTAAGGCATTGATTTGTAATGGGAACTCTTTCATAGTTCTCCGCAATGAATTTCAAACCCTCCATCCAACTATTTTTTTAGTACTCCAACATGATCTCTATGGATGACAGACACGGTTCATACGGACTTTTTTTTACTTTTTTTTTCCTTTACTACTCTTTATCAGGAAATTTTTGAACTATGTATAATAATTCTATAGGAATCTTTTGTGCATCCTATTTGCCTTCCTCTTAGCTGTGCATAGCAACCAATATAAAGTCATTCAAAATGTTAATGACAGGTTATCTTTCCAGCACTTGATATCCGTGTGAAGAATGTGGCACGGACTTACTCCCTTGAACATGAGGGTGAAAGTGTGCTTTTTGATCAGCTCTTTGCGTTGCTAAATAATTCTATGAAAAATGAAGAAAGCTATAAGAGAGAGTTGGCCTCTTGTACAGGAGCCCTGAAGACATCAATCAGTCAGCACATGTCCAAGGAAGAGGAGCAGGTTTGCTTTTTATGCTTTCTTTTTTCTGTTGGCATTTGGCTACATATTTGAAGCGGTGATTCGGATTTTGGACAATGTTGTGAGGAAAAAAAAACTTACACTGGTCGTAGACATTATATTAAGCAAATCACGCTAGTTAAATGTGATATAGAAGTAGTGTGCCATATTTATCCTAGTAGTACGATCTTCAGTTCCAATTGTTTTGCTAAATCTAAGATTTGCAGGACTGCTCTATTTAGTTTCTCATCACAATTGGAGACCTTAACTTAATTGATGCTCCAGGAGTAATCTCTATTTTTATACCATTTTTTCCCATCTCTGCTGCAAATATATGTGATTCAAATCTTATTCTTGTCAATTTTCTTCTTCACCTTTGTTTATCTTATCAGTTTGATTTGTTATTCTGAAGTAAATCAAAAGAATAACCACGAGACATAAAATCTGTCTCCAGAATGTAATTTGTACTTTATTTTTCGTGTATATGGACTTCAAAATGTAAGTTTGGAATTAAAATAATTTAATTTTACTTTATCATGTAAAAATGTCAGGTGTGCACCGTCATTTTTTAGGACTTAAGAGGGGTCTTGGATGAATTTTTTTGAATAAGGAATTTGGATTTAAAGTTTTTAGTTAATCACGGTTCTCTGATATTTCCTTTCATACCCTATGGAATAGAATTATGTATATTGATTGCCATGTTTCCATTAATTGGCAGGTCTTCCCCTTGCTCAACGATAAGTTTTCATTCGAGGAGCAAGCATCTTTAGTATGGCAATTTTTGTGCAGCATTCCCGTGAATATGATTGCAGAATTCTTGCCGTGGCTTGCGTCATCAATTTCACCAGATGAGCGGCATGATATGCGTAAATGCCTGCACAAAATAATCCCTGATGAAAAGCTGCTCCGACAGGTTAGATGCCACTTGACTGGCAGCACAAGCATAAAGAGCTTGGTAATATTTTGTTCTGACTTGTCTTTCTTGTTCATGATGAAGATTATATTTACCTGGATGGATGGATTAAAGATTTGCAACAAGCGCAAGTGTTACGAAGATGATCCTAGAAGTAGAAGCTCAGGTAGTCCAAATGAATACGGACATCGCTCTTGTGAATCTTCCCAGAATTCTGATGGAGATATTCGGTCTGATTGTGGTGCCACTACGTCCTCGCTATATTTTCCGATAGATGATATATTGCTTTGGCATAAGGCAATTGAAAAGGAATTGATTGATATAGCTGAGGCAGCTAGAAATATAAAATTTAATGAAGATTTTTCTGATCTATCTGCCTTCAATAGGAGGCTCCAATTTATAGCCGAAGTCTGCATTTTTCATAGGTATTTGTACGTTTTTGGTCTCACAATTTGTTCTTTCTGAACTCTTTTAAGTAATCCGTAGCTTAGTGTAACATTTTTCATAATTTCAAACCCATTCCTCCAGGATCAAAAAGTTACTAGCACTAGCAGGGTTACCACCATCTTAAGGTGCTATAGATGAGTACGGATATGGACGTAAATTTAGACTAATGTTTCCAGATTTGACATGACTTTTCCTTGCTTGTTGAACCTTACTACATCGAGACAGTGAAAAAACAATAATGTTGGCCAGAATTTTTGCTATCACGATTTATTGTGATTTAGTATGGATGTACAACTGCCAGCTTTTGTGAACTGTTGTCTGTGTTTTTTTTTGTTTTGAGATTCTGTTTTGAATGTTGATTTGAAACTATTGCTGCAGCATAGCTGAGGACAAAGTTATATTCCCTGCTGTAGATGCAGAAATCTCTTTTGTCCAGGAACATGCCGAAGAAGAGAGCGAGTTTGACAAGTTCAGGTGCTTGATAGAGAGTATTGAAAGTGCTGGAACCAACTCATCTGCTGAATTTTATTCAAAATTATGCTCACAGGCTGATCATATAATGGAAACTGTGAAGAAGCATTTTCGGAATGAGGAAAGTCAGGTAGAGATCCAATGTCCTTTGTTTCTGTGAGTACTTTTGTATAATAATTTGTAGCATCTAGAAAATGGTGAATTCATTTCAGTCCTGAATTTATAGGTCCTTCCACTTGCACGGAAACATTTCAGCCCTGAACGTCAGCGAGAACTCCTGTACCAGAGCTTGTGCGTGATGCCACTGAGATTGATCGAATCTTTCTTACCATGGTTGGTTTGGTCTATGGGTGAAGATGAAGCTCGGTGTTTGCTTTACAACATGCTCATAGCAGGTACTATGCCAGTGTCTTTTCTTTATCTTTTGGAACTGTTATCATTTAAGTTGTACTTTTTGCAGACTGCTTCTGTGTATATAATTTGTGCCTAACCCATTACAAATTGCAGCTCCAGCTTCAGATACTGCTCTGGTTACTCTGTTCTCTGGTTGGGCATGCAAAGGTTGTCCTGGAGGGATATGTTTGTCTTCCTTTGCAATTGGTGGTTGTCCTGTAGAAGAGATTAAAGAAACCAAAGAGAATTTTGGAACGTCTTGCAATTCCTGTGCGTGTTCAAGTACATTAAATGAAAGTAGAACTTGTGGACTAGCATGTAAATGCGAAAAGACTGTCAAGGATGGAAACTTAGATTCTTCTTTAGAAAATATAGCTTCAGAGGTTTCGGGAACATTATCCCAAAAGGCTTCTCAGACTAACCAGTTTTGTTGTGTTCCTGGTCTTGGTGTCAGTAGAAATACCCTAGGAATGAATTCCCTCTCCGCTGCCAAATCTTTGCGCTCTTTATCTTTTGTTCCAAGTGCTCCTTCTCTCAAGTCCAGTCTTTTTAACTGGGAAACGGAAACCGACTCTAATATTAGTGACCTTACAGCCCGACCTATCGATACCATTTTTAAATTTCACAAAGCAATTCGGAAGGATTTGGAATATCTAGATGTTGAATCTGGGAAGCTTAGTGATTGTGATGAAAATTTCATTAGACAGTTCAGTGGTAGATTTCGTCTTTTATTTGGCTTGTACAGGGCACACAGTAATGCAGAGGATGATATAGTGTTCCCTGCTTTAGAATCAAATGAAACTCTCCACAATGTTAGCCATTCATACACTTTAGACCACAAGCAGGAAGAAGAATTGTTTGAAGATATCTCTTCTGCATTAGCTGAGCTATCTCAACTTCATGAAAATTTGAATGCGAAAAATGTGTCGGGAAATTTGAGCGAAAGTCCCTCTGGTTCTTCAAGTCACAGTAATAGTTTGAAGAAATATAATGAGCTGGCAACAAAGATCCAGGGCATGTGCAAATCTATTAAAGTGACTTTAGATAACCATGTTATGCGTGAAGAAGTTGAGCTTTGGCCATTGTTTGACTTATATTTCTCTGTGGAGGAGCAGGACAAACTGATTGGTCGCATTATTGGCACAACTGGAGCAGAAGTTCTTCAGTCAATGCTGCCTTGGGTAACTTCTGCTCTTACTCAAGAAGAGCAGAATAAAATGATGGACACGTGGAAAAATGCAACTAAGAACACAATGTTCAGTGAGTGGCTTAATGAATGGTGGGAAGGGACTTCAGCTGCATCTTCACATGTATCGACAGAGAACAACTCTTCACAAGGTACTTGAAACACTCAGTCTGACTTGCTCTTTGTCATATTATGCCAACACTTATGTTTTTCCTTTTCCCGGTAAATATGCCACTACTTGTGTTTGCTGGCCTAAATATCTTGCAGCATGTCACATTGTAATTGTTAAAATTTGCTGTTCTCAAGATATCAAGTACATGAATCTGCAGGGTACGAAGTACATGAATCTGCAGGATATGAAGCACATGAATCTGCAGACCAAAGTGATAATACTTTTAAGCCTGGGTGGAAAGATATTTTCCGAATGAACCAAAATGAGCTTGAAGCAGAGGTAAGGAGGGTCTCTCGTGATTCAACTCTTGATCCACGAAGGAAAGCATATCTTATTCAAAATCTAATGACCAGGTTCAAACTTCTTACTGTTTTCTGTTTTCTAATCCCGCCTTTTCATATGATTCTCCTTATCTTTCATTTAATGTATTTTTGTTCCTTTAACTCTTGTTAGTCGCTGGATAGCTTCTCAACAGAAAATTTCACAAGCAAGAACAACCAAACCTGAAGATGGGGAAGATTCACTTGGATGCTCTCCCTCATTTCGTGATTCTGAGAAACAAATTTTCGGATGCAAGCATTACAAAAGAAACTGCAAACTCCGTGCTGCTTGCTGTGGCAAGCTAGTTGCATGTAGGTTCTGCCATGATGAAGTCAGTGACCATACGATGGATAGGTAATGTAGGAAACTGATTCCTTTGCCTTGAATTTTGTAGGACAAATATTTGTTACGTATTTTGCTATTTTCGCAGGAAAGCGACATCTCATATGATGTGTATGAATTGCCGACAAGTACAAGAAGTTGGACCAGTTTGCATAACCCCATCTTGCAATGCACTTCCAATGGCAAAATACTATTGCAGTAGTTGTAAATTCTTTGATGATGAAAGGTAAGATTTCTTCATTAACTTCTTTTAATTCTTCTAGTGTAAATGGCTGCTTTAGGTTCTTCTCATTCAGAATCATGCTGTAGCGCCCCCCTTCTTAACTAAAAAATCATTAAATATTAAGTTGATGACGAGGGTTTCAGTTTGATTGGTAGGTTAATGCCTAGATAATTTAGTTACAATATGAGAATGACTGTGTTGACTCTGATGAATTTTGATAATAACCTGAACAAGCATACAACGAGGTATGCCTTTTAACTTCCCATTGTTTCTAGCAAGTCAAACTTTTACTTGTCATTTGTAGTCCGGTAGCTGAAAATTGGTTTTGTATTTCATTTGGTAAGTTTGGGTCTGCGAAACACAAAACAACATCTTTCCTTTGACTTTTTTCCCCATTGCATGTGCTTCTTCTTGTCTTTCGATATCTCCGTCAAGGTTGTATCCTTCACCTTTGATCTGAACAAGTGCATGCGTGGTACATGCATGAAAATATGTTTAAATGCACAAGAGAAATGCAGATGTACGCAATGTAAAGTTAATGAGATGACTAACATAGACAATGTGATGAAACTTGAGAATGTGACCTTCCTCCTTATTTTCCCTTCAAATTCCCTTTCTTTCCAGGGAGATTTATCATTGTCCCTTCTGCAATTTATGCCGTGTCGGCAAAGGACTTGGTGTTGACTTGTTCCATTGCATGACATGCAATTGTTGCTTGCCGATGAATGCGGACCATAAGTGCATTGAGAAAGGTCTTGAGACTAACTGCCCCATATGCTGTGATTTTTTGTTCACATCGTGTACAGTTGTGAGGGCTCTTCCTTGTGGCCATTGCATGCATCAGTCTTGCTTTCAGGTCTATTCTTTATCCTTTTCTTTCTGGACCATGATCGGATCTTAACATACATAAACTATTCACCATAACTCTATTATTTCTCTCACACCAGGCATATGCTTGCACACATTACGGCTGTCCTATCTGCAGTAAATCAATGGGAGACATGTCGGTAAGAATTATCTCTACCTTCTATGGATTAAAACCTTTCACTCGATCGCTTGTGTATATTATATAATTTTAATTTTAATCCAGGTCTTCTTTGGCATGCTTGATGCTCTAATGGCTTCTCAAGTTCTTCCAGAAGAATACAGAAACCAGTGTCAAGTGAGCATAATTAATTCATCTCCTCTAACTTGTGAAACAAAAAAATTATCGACAAACTTATATTTATTGATGCATGCGCAGGATATACTATGCAACGACTGCGATAGAAAAGGCACTGCACCATTTCATTGGCTGTACCATAAGTGTGGCCTTTGTGGATCATACAGCACCAGAGTAATTAAGGTCGACCGAGACCCTAATTGTTCGACATAGTCCACTCCCACTAGTCACATATTCTCCGTTTTTTTTCCTCCCCATGTAAATTGCGTCTTATTGAGCCAAATTTTGTCATTTTTGAGACGTTTGATTGATAGTTAAGTCCGATAGATTATAAATGACATAAATTCACCCCAATATAATATTCTACGTATATAACGAGTGCGTTACGTCTTACATATTTGGATTGAAATAATTTGCATAATAAAAATTTGTTTAACCATCAATGGTGAATGACTGGACTTCAACTATATCTTTTACAGGTTAAAAGTTTTTTCGTAAATTATAATCTGCTTTATGGACAAATTAGGCAGTAATCTTTTACTCATTTTTTTATCCTAAGTTTTAGTTGTTGGATCTAATTAATTGACATGGAAAACCAGTCTCTTTTAATTTTAGTCATTTTTTAATCTATTTTCTTATACCTAATTGTCACCGTACTTGGATTTGTTTATATTTTCGTGTTGGCGTAAATCTTGCTTTACTTTCGACGAAAATTTTCTTTTGAAGTTTGTACTCAACAGGTTGATAATATAATACACATTTTATTTGAGATGCTAAGGGCATTTTGGATCTCTAAATTTTGTTTTGAATGCCCATTTAGCTAGACACTCAAAATTTCAAAAACAATAATGTAATAATTAATGCAAGTTAATTGTTTAAACATATCTTTATAAGTGTAATAAATGATCAACATGTAAATAAATATTTGAAATGGAAGAAGTGCAACTCAGAGCTATGAATAAATTAATCACCCTATGTTATATTCAGACACAACAGAAAATGCCATCTTAGGTTATCTGTTTTTAGACCTGTACTGTATTTAATTCACGTAGAGATGACCTTATATATGTACAAAGAAATATTGCATTTACATTATTATTATATAATATGATATTCTTTGTTTTATATTTCTTGTCTTAACATGCGCGCGTCGTATACCAAGTTTGTTGTTTATATTGAGACCAACTGCGTAACACTTGCATTTTTTATTTTATAATTTATTTATTTAAATTGTTTATTTAAGGTTTTCTTTGTTAAAGAACAATAGCTCCATGACTTGGTCGCTCACAGGCATAGGAGTAGTTTTTCACTGGATCTCGGTCTGTAGTTTAATCAGTGCTTAGAGTCTGTCTTTTGCCTCCGATTTGATAATTAATTAATGATTATTTGATCTCTCTCTCTCTCTCTCTCTCTCTCTCTCTCTCTCTCTCTCTCTCTCTCTCTCTCTCACACCGGTAAGAAAGATTGCTCTGCACCGAGTATGTATAAAGATATAGACTGAAAGCCATGAATCAATTGTGAATACAATCTATTCATAAAATGTGGTGTTAAAGTAAAAGAGAACTTTGCATACAAAATAAATTTGATGTATTATGATCGATGATGTGTAACATTAGCTCTAGTATACATACACGTAGCTGTCTACGTGGAAACAAGTGTCTTGATGATATATATATTATATTATATGAATATAATTAAAGAATACTTAATTAAATATGTAACCCCATGACGTGTGCATGTGTTTTCCTTGCATTAACGTGCTAAGTGGTATTTATTATGCCGTCTAGTTGTCCATTTCATTGCCAACCCAAAGCACATTTCATTTGTCTCATTTGATTCACCAATTAGTAGTAATATTTGTTTTATACTATACCCAATGAATCTTATTGGAGATTATTATACCATACATATTGCTTCATATATATTTTACATATCTATATGTTATGTGTGTGATTGTGTGTAAATTAAACGTGAAAAAAATATTGTCCGATATATTTCATCAGACGTAGAATTTACAACACCAATTAGTAACTAGCCAACTACCCACCCCACCGGACCCCTTACAAAGACCAAAAGAGCTTGTGAGATTATGTCAATTGACCCAACTTCGAATTCCCTTGGCAACGGTCGTCAGGTCGAGTCTGACACACATGAATAGCCTAATACAGTTTACGGTTGTTCTATAGTTTATAAGTTTACAAGTTTTCAAGTTATTAAACGAGAGTGTAGGTTTTTCACCCAGTCCACCTATATAGATGGCTGCGCGTCACTTAAAAAAAGACCCAAAGAGCATCAAAGCTTTTCTTTTTTTGATGAAGAGGAATCAAAGCTTATAAAATATGCTTAGGCATTCTAGACCGTAACCTAGGGTTAGACTTCAGGTTAGATTAGTATTAATTACTTAATTATAAATTGAAAAAAAAAAGACCCAAAGAGCAATCAAAGTTTTTTTTTTTTTTTTTTTTTTTTTTTTTTTTTTTTTATGAAGAGGAATCAAAGCTTATAAAATATGTTTAGACATTCTAGACCGTAATCTAGGATTAGGCTTCAGGTTAGATTAGTATTAATTACTCAATTATAAAATAATCAACATGTTTATTTTTTCTACACATAGTATATGTGAGGAGTCACTTCACATGACTTAAAGCTAACTCCACCCAAACCTACTAATTTATTCATATAATAATTTATTAAATGAAGTAGGTATAGATGATTGTATATTATAAGAGTGACCCCCACACCACATAGTTTTGTATTAATGATTAATTATGCTTTGAACATATCCATAAAAAGGGATTACAGCTTGGAAAATAAGTCACATTAGGGCATTAATCTTTTTGGACTTTTTCCAAAGTAATGGGGGTAAAAAGGGAACAAATTTATAAAGATGATTAGAAAAAAAATTGTAATATGATGGGATCATGTGTGCATTAATCTCGAGTTTAACCAATGTAACAAGCTCTTATTGGCTTAATCGCCTTGATTAACACCAAATTGGTGGGCCACGACGGGGATTTAGGCGATCTTAAGACGATAATATTGGTATCACTTCCATCAATAATAATTATTAAAGCATGATTAAAGTCCCTTAAAAGTGTTTAAGTTTATATTTAGTGCGGTGTAAACCATTAGCGATAAGCCACATTGATTGATAATCTACATGATTAGGACATTTAATCTGTAGATTAATCAACAAGCTTAGAGAAGTTGGATTGGACAAGCTAACTGAAATTATACACACACACACACATATATATATATATATATATATATATATATATATATATATATATATATATATATATATATATATATATATATATATATATGTATGTATATATATATA